AGAATGCAAGGCCAGGGCAGTAAACAGCTGGGTCTTGAACATGCTCATAAGCTGCAAAAATAAAACTGTATCAACATTTAATAAATAGAAAACAGGCAGTAAGCAAGCAATAATGGGAATCCATCACTTTGCCTTTTGTTTTGTTATTTGTTAGGCATATTTATATAAAAGAGGGCACAGATTTGGGATCTATTAGTCAGGTTTTGGCCAAGCCAAACCTTTAAGCTTTGGGAGAGCTTGGCTCTGAGGACAGCCTTTAGGCTTGACAACCAGGACACCTCAGCAGACAGTGCAGGCTGGGGGATGATCTGTGAGCCTTCTGGTTTCCCTCCCCTGACTCCTCCTTTTCGTCCAAGTCTTTGTCCAAGCAAGATTCCTTGCTCTGCCAGGAATCAGTCCACTCCAGAGTCTGTCATGCTCTCTCTCTGTGCTTATATCCTTGGGCATCTGTAGCTGTGAAGAACACAAAAAGTATAATGTCAGCTTTATCCACCCATTCTCCGAATTTGGCTGAGTCAGAGATCTCATCCCTGTGGTCATCTTCCCTATCACTCCAGCCTCTTGCTGGGAAAAAGGCGGTGCTTCTGCACTGTCACACAGCTTATTTTTAGCTCTCACTTCGCTTCAGCCTATCAAGAATCCCTGTGCGTTTCGTGACAGTTAAGTGGCATCTGCGTGGTGGAAGGAGGAAGGCAGATGGGTTGTGCCCGAGTAGCTGTGTTTAATAGTTAGCTTGTCCCTGCCACGTTGAAAAGCAAAGGGTAGCCAAAAGTTCAAACGACAGCACTTCCAATGCCCATGCCAGCTTTTAGCAGTCTTCCCGCCCTTGTTATCCCAAAGGAGTTGCAGGACTGTCTCCACTGTGCACTTTTTCTCCCGCCTGCAAACATATCGCCACTAGGAGGAGTATTGCTCTTAAAAATGGGGGAAAGAGCCCATTTTGGACAGTACCTTTTGGGCTGGGAGCTACGATGAAGCCCTATTGGCAAGCTAGCTGATGAGCACAGAGTATTTCAGCCATGAGGGCTCCTCTGTGTTGGATCTCCGGCACCTCAGTGCCCTTCAGGACGCTTTCCTTTGGCTAAAGCGCCCCAGGATTCTGCCTTGCGCCCCAGCTCACCTGGCTGCATGTGCACCATGCGGCACAGCCCTTTGCCTGGCTGGTTCTTGTACACGGGCTTCACGCACACTTTGTTAGTGGTGCCCGAAGCCAGGTCTGTGAGGAGCACGCTGTGGATCTGCGGCGAAACGCTGATGACCGACGAAGGGCCTGTTTGCCGCCGGCATCTGACCCTGTAACCCAGGACTTTCCCGTCGGCAGAGTCCCAGGAGGCTTTCAGGGTGTTGGGGCCCATGTCTTCGAAGCGAAGGTGCCTCACTTTGGAGCCCTCTAGAGAAAGAAGGTTCGTGTTACTGCGGACCATTCGTATGGAGTGGTCCTTCCCGCCCAGCTCCTCGTTCCTCCCGAGGGGATTGCCAGCCAGCCTGGTCTTTCTCCAGTGTAGAGAAGCAATAGCCCATCACTAAATCTCTGCAGTGGAGGAGCTCAGCCTAGTTAGTCCTTAACTTCGTGCTGGTACCAGCACAAAGGCACTGTTAGGCACTGGCTGGCCACCTCCCACACCCTCAGCTGCTGTCATTCTCTGAGCTCCTCGCTCTTGAGTCCTGATAAGAGCTAGATTTTGCCTCCTGCGGTATCTTTACAGGTGCCTCTTCAGAGCAGAAGCTTCTGCTGATTAAATTTCCACCCCTCTGATGCTAAATCACACCAAAGAACAGAGTCTTAGGAGACCGGAGGGAAAGGCAGTTTTCTTTCTTCTTTAGGGAGATGCAGGGATCTCCAAGTCCTGCTTGTGGCTGCACCAGCAGCTTGGCAGCACGCACCCTGTAAGAGCGGTGATATTGTGCGTGTCTGATTGTCCTTCAGTCCTATGCCTTACACATCTGCTGCATCCTAATGGCATTATCCTGTTCTGCTGTTCATCAGAAGCTGCAGCTTTCCCCTTCTCTCGTCCCCCCCCCCCAGTGACTGGGCCGACTGAGTTCCCTGGCTTCACCTAGAGGCAGATGATCTGGGCAAAGAAGCAGGCACACTTCAGGGACTTTTTGTGCCCGTGCAGTTTCCTACCAGCAGAACGCTGCTCACTCACCTTCCTGAGTGCAGGCTTTAGCCGACAGGGATTTCTCCTTTCCCGATTTGTAGATTGCAGTCACTGTCACTAGGTAGGTTGTATTGGGTGCCAGATTCTCCACCACTGTGCTGTTGTCCTTGCCATCCACCTCCAGCAGCTTCACCGAGTTCCCAGGGAGCGGTCCGTACAGGATCTGATAGCTGCTCACACTGTCCAGTGTAGGAGCCCAACTCACATGGAAGCTGTGCGGCCCAGACTCTGAGATGAGAACCTGAACTGGGCTTATTTCCTCTGAAAGCAATGTAAAAAGATGTAAATGAGTATGTAATTCAAGGCGTAAGAATGCTGTCAGAGGAGCATAATTGACCCGCACCACATTTGGCTTCCAGGTGGTGGAAGAAAATCCATCCAGCACGTGGATGTTGATAGTCATCCAAGTCAGGACAAGCCAGCTCAGCCCTCAGAAAATGGTTTCTCTACCTGTGCAGCAGAGAGCGGGCAAAACCGCTCGGCCAAAACTGTTCTTGCATGCAGTAAAATTAATACTGGATGCAAGTTCGTCTTGACTTTGTCACCCCTGCTCAAACTTCCAGTGGGCCACTTCTCGCACGTTGCTACCCGGCATAAACCAGAGTTGTTATTCTGGCCCTAGTCTGCACAGAGGGGCTGGCTTCTGCTCCGAGTGCTCCCCCTCTCCTTCCCTTTTACCCGGGCATTCCCCATCAGTGGACACACCTGCCTGGAGAAGCAGCACGCACCTTACTGCGCACACTTTACCTGCCAGGGTAGTGACCCTTGTTGTCTGGGGAGGGAAGTAGTGGACGTTGGATTCGGGAACGAGAGCCACCTCGTAAGTAGTTTCTGGTGCAAGGTTGCTTAGCACGAGGCTAGTGTGAGCCCCAGACACTTGCTTTGTCCTCTTCCTTGCAAGGTCGTCTGTTGGGGCATACTCTAGGGTGTAGTAGCCAGTTTCCTGAGAGAGGAGTTCAGGCCACATCAGACGGAAGCTGCTTGAGGTGATGTCTACAGCATGGAGTCGATTTGCTTGGATGACATCTGGAAGAGAAACAGTAGCGAGAAATCTCTACTGACATTAATACACAGGACATGGCACGTCTGGAATACAGGCCCTTCTGCGTGGGAGGTGTAGCCTACAGCAACACTGGATGACAGCTGAAGTCACCTAGGTGTAGCCAAGCCCCTTCATAGCAATGCAGTGAACCAGATCCTCTTTCAAAGGTTCAGGAGCACAAAATTAAATCCTTGAAGCCAAGCATAAAGCTAAAAAAAATGCCCAGTATGTGTCAACGGAGGCAGCAATATTTGGGTTTTCACACCAGTCCTACCTCTCGGACAAGACCCTTTCACTGAACAGAGTTGCAAAGGAAATACGTGTACCCCAACCGCCATGAAGTGGCATTTTGGCTAAAGCAATCGCTCAGGCATGCCTGCCCGACGGACTTCAGCTCAAGAATACTACTGCACCTTGCCTCCTAGGCATCTCCAGCCTCAAACCAGTTTGCCACAAGCCTCCAAGTTGCTCTATAAAAGCCCCAGCTCTCCCTCTGCGTTCTCTCTGCCTTGTCCTCTGGGCTAAGGCCAAACAGTGCTGGTGATCTGCTGTGATGGAGAGGCCTGGCACAGCAGGAACCATGCCCCTGCCCATCCAAACGTGTCTTGCGCCACCAAGAACGAATCTGGAGCAATCCAGCAAGTTCTGGGCAGCCGCTACGGCCCGACAGACGTGCGGGCGTTACTGTGCCTGGCCAAACAAGCAGCTTCCCACACTCGGCAGGACGTTACCCTGTACCCAGCATGGCAAGCAGCACTGGCACTGCCTGTGACAAAGCTGGAGATGGAATTTGGGCAGCCAGGTTCCAAAACTCCTGCGGTCAGTTCATCCCCAGCTCCCTGTGGAAATCACCCACTAACGAAACCAAACCACTAAGTTTTGTCAGGTATGTGAAGCAGCCCAGAGCGTGAAGAAACACATTTCTCCCCGCCTGTACGCAGTGGCCAGGAGGAAGGGGCAGCAAATGGGGATTGTCCAGCCTTTGCTGAGCTGCCTGCGTTCGTGCCAGCTGAAGTCACTCCCTGCAGTGTTTCACAGAGCCCCATTGTTCTGTGACATTCAGCAGAGCCGCTCTTGTGCTATCTCGCTTCTCTCTCCCCCTGCGCAGAGGCTTCTCTTCAAGGCTTGTGCTACCTTTGAGTTCTAGACCCCCAAATGCCAGACACCACTACCTCTGCTGAGGCTCAGCAGCTCCCCCAGCTTCCTCTGCTGCTGGACCCTTCAGACACACGTGGCCTCCTGAGCCCATCTCGGGCAGAATCCCACCGTTCTCTGGTCTTCCAGAGGGGTGGAAACACACAGCACTTTGTTTCTAGCTCCAGGGAAGTGGCATACAAAGATGCTCTTGTTTTGTTTTGTTTTGTTTTTTAAAGGATTTTCAAAAGCACCCAGAGCCTTAAAGAAGTACATTTGCTCTGCACAGCGTCGCTCCTGAAACCTCATGGAAGTGCCCTCCAGCTCAAGCTGAAATACTTCACAGAGTGCTGTATGTAGCTCTCTCTGGCTGTCCATTAGGCAGGGGGAAAGGGAGGCACAAAAGTCTGCCCAGACCCGCAAGAGAACAGAGGGTAGCCTTGCATTCTCAGACTTGTCCTTTAACTGCGAGAAGATCAGCTCTCCTCCTCCGAGCTGCTCCGAGTCCCTGCCAACTCCTCCGTACCAAAGAAAGCAGCCTCAGTTTTTCCTCTGAGCTGTTCTCTGGCTCTCCCAGGCAGGCAGGAACATTTCCCTTCTCCGTGCCCTGCCCGCTCCTGTCTGCAGCCCAGCCAGCAGCACTCCACCCCGTCGGAGCTTGGAGGAGGCAGCGGGCGGGAGGCAGCGCCACGGGGCTTGGGGCGCTGCACCCTTCTGCGAGCCCCGCAGCTACCAGCCGCCAAGCCACAAAGGAACAGAGGAAAGGCCTCAGCACCAAAAGTCCTGCCAAAAAGCTTCAGGGAATGGAAAGAAAAGTGAGCTCGGAGGCAGGGTCCAGGGGCGCTGTGAATAAATCGGGCAGGTCGAAGGGACAGGGTGCAACACACGTGCTGCAGGGAGCCCACAGCAAACAGCTCTGCCCCTTCTTGCCAGATTACAGGCGCCTCAAGCATATGAAGAGGGCAATAAGCCCCCCCCAAAATAGATGCCCGTGGTATGCTTCACAGCACCTCCTTGTTCCCA